ATCAGTTGTGCTCCGTTCTCCAACACCAAATCATCAAAGCATCGAAAAATGTGGCCCAGGAATTGCTTCGTGCTTCGTAAGTTCTTAAGTAGTGGTACATATGTATATGATTTTCCTACTAACTTATTGAATTCCAGTTTTCGGAGTTGTGCTATTAATCACTATAGCTATGACTCAAGCCCAGCCCCCAACTGAGGGACCCACGCCCCCAACTGAGGGACCCACGCCCCCAACTAGGAGACCAACGCCTCCAACTAGGAGACCAACGCCCCCAACTAGGAGACCAACGCCTCCAACTAGGAGGCCAACACCCCCAACCAGGAGACCTACGCCTCCAACTAGGAGACCAACGCGCCCAACTAGAAGACCCACGCCACCAACTAGAAGACCCACGCCACCAACTAGAAGACCCACGCCACCAACTATAGCACCATAGTAGTACACATGCAAATTTTTAATTTTTTAAGAGCCAATTTGCGCCACAAATATGTTTAATTAATTCCTATAAAAAATAGTTTTGCTTGTAATAAAATTACGCGATTTTATATGCAACTCAACCTACTTTGTTTTAAATACAATGCACAGTGGCAAATTTTCTTTACATACCTGGCAAAAAGAAGGCAACTGGTGCAGTTTTAACCAAACTTTGTTTAGTCATGTTTGTTGTTTGCTTATTTTAAATTTCACGACATAATTTCGAAATTTATGGAAATTGGGGATCCTAATGGAGGCTGTATACGCTTAAAATATTTCCACTTTTAGCAAAACTAGTGTAGTGAAGTATAACTGGTCACCATTAATATGTTGTCTGAATTTTTATACCCGAGCGCACTTGTGCACAAGGGTATTATAACTTTGTTCACATAACAGTTGTTTGTAACAGGCAAAATGAATCGAGATAGATATAAACAAATGTATACATAAATGATCAGAATGAATAGACAAATCGATTAAGCCATGTCTGTGTCCGTCCGTCTGTCCGTCCGTCCGTCCGTCTGTGCACACGATAACTCGAGTAAAAATTGAGATATCTTGACGAAACTCGGTACGTGCGCTTCTTTTGGGCGTAGGACGGATGGAATTGAAAATGGACAAAATCGGGCAAAAACCACGCCTACCTCCCATATAACGGCAAATTTTCAGAAATACGTAAACTGCGATATTTTAGTAACTATTGAAGATTATTCACTCAAAATTGATATTTACAATAATTTTTAGATTGAAAATGAGAATATTATAAATTTTTGGAAAATGGGCGTAGTTGCACCCACCTCTGATTATATGTGCATATCTTGGTAACCGCTGCACCAATTTCTTCCACACTTGGCACAGTTGTTAACCTTGCCACAGCATACCAAATGGCCAACAAGTTTTAAAATCGGACAATAACCAAGCCCACATCCCATATAACGGTAATTTAGAGAAATACAAAATCTTCGTTAAATCGGTAAATATTAAAGCTAATTTATTCAAAATTGATGCTTGCAACAATTCTTTACCACGAAATGCGCTTATGATAAAATTTTGGAAAATGGGCCCGGCACCGTCCACATATGATCACATATATGTATCTTGTTAACCGTTCTACCAATTTGTACCAAACTCGGTATGGTTATTGTGCTTGCCACATAAAAGCAAAACGTTGAACTAAAATTATGGCCGCTTTTCATATAACGGTAAATTTCAGAAATGCTTGCATCTTCAATATTTCGAAATTTAAGGACGCTAATTTACTCAAAATTGATACACCCCGGCTTACCATGTAGCGGCAGCTTTCGGAAAGGTGAAAGGCGGGTTTCACTGTAGTTTCACTTTAACCTTTATTTTGACAAGTGTTTCTACGGTTAACACTTGAAGTCAGAGATTAGTTTAACAGAAAGCTAATAAAGTATAAAACTTGATTAATAATTTGTAAAGAAAAGTTTTATTCTCCCAAGAGTGACGTGAGTCAACGACGCCGCCCACCTCACTGAGTTGATGGATTCGATTTCCAATTTTAGACAAACTTTGTCAAAATATTTCTTACATAGCGGCTTTCTCGAATTTAGTTAATAGAATGTTAAGGTCCATTTTATGCTTGGATGGCATTATTATGTTTGAGAATTAAAAAAAAAAAAACTCTTGTAGCTATTGACGGGTGGGACAGTATTTTGTGACGGGTGGACGAGTAACTATTGAGGACACATAGTTCATGAGTAAAATGAACACAACTGATTTGTGTAATTTTGATTGATTTGGTGTAATTTTTTGTTTTTGTGTATTTGGGCCCGCGTTCAAAATGCTCGCCTATAAAAATTAGTTTAATGGTCAGTATGGTCAGCTTATGACCCGATGACAATGCAATATGAAAGAGGAATACGCTAGGTGGCGCAGGTATCGATTTGAAGAAAAACCCGTATTTATGGTCCGATATGGTTCATAGTTTTATATTACTTTAATTGAATGACATAACTCCACAACAACTTCAGCTGGTGCGGGGGTCGACTTTTCTGTTTTTTATTAACCACTAATAATTTGCTTACATTTTTTAATTACTTGTATTATATTTTATTTTATTTTTTTTTTTTTAGTTGATAAGTGTAAAATATAATATATCAGCGCAAAGGTAAAGAAATTTAGAGTTCGAAAATATACAACACAAATAGATTTGCCTTACAACCCCCAGATTTTTAGCAAAATATTTTTTGAAGACCCAAAATTACCTGCGGTTATAACAGGAATCAATGCTCATCAAATAGAAAGGTTAAACGAAGTGACTGTATTATCTATCCATAAAAGTAAGTAAAATATGGTTTGAACCCCTGGCATCCCACGTCTTGTACAATGAATAAAATCTTAATGAATGATGCCATTGTAATGAAACACGCATTCCTACTCATTGAAAAGCTTTATGAGAAAGCAGCGGAAGCGCGCAAATTAAAAAAAAAAACAATTTTAGAGAATCCGGTAATAAATATTATTAGAATCGGTTACTTGTGAGTTCAAATCCTTTGAACAATAACTTAAATGAATTATTACAAAATGTAGGCAAGTCAAAAAATATATGTTTAAATAGTGTTTAAGTCGCAAATATATTTAAAAATGTTAAACATCTTTTTAAAAATCTAATTAAATTTAATCAGTTAGTTTAATGCAATAGAAAGGTAAAACCCGTATCTTTCAAACAGAGAATACAATTTTTAATTCGATCAAAAAATAACAAAGCTATAACTTCTTGAAGTTGTATTTTGAAGAGTACCAAGTAATAAACAAGTGAGAAATCCTGCATATTTGTTTTGTTTACCTTTGGTGTTATCAACCTAATTATATGCATTGGCTTTTTCTTACCTCGACATGTCAACTGACAACTTTATAAGATACTCTTATTGCTTGTATTAAAAGTTACTTTTAGCGAAGGAACTAAGACTGCTACACTCTAAAAAAATTGTGTAGATTTCCTAGCTAAAAGGTAGGTTACTGATTTCCTACCTTATTATTCGCGATATTACATGCTCGATTATTCAACGAATAGTTGGTTTAAATTTCGGACTTTTTAGAGTGTAATATAGCTGCTGTGGTGTGCGTAAATTTACTACGGAAGTGCGTACAAGCTACAGAATACACATCTGCTGTTTGATTTCACCCGTAGAATTGTATAAAGCCACTAACAAAAAGGATTTTTACACACGAAAATGTGTAAACGAGAAAAATACATATTCATCGTGTAAATTTACCAAAAAATTTTAAAAATAAACAAAAATAAACTCGATTTATAGTCGCATTTTTAAACAGATTTTTTAGAGTGTAACGAATATTATTTCTTAGTATGTATGAGTGTATGTAGTTGCAACCATACATACAAATATATGCATTTCGATGCTAAAGGGTTCAAAGGGTTCGATATCTTTAACCATTTTTATGACTCACTTTGTAGCATTGTCAAAAATTAAGCAATGAATAAACGCGGACAGACTTTTCACTTAAATGTATTGTCACCAATTTAGACAATTGTTAAAAATATTGCCAAGTGTTATCTGAAGATCACTTATTTCCTGATGTCGACTTCCCTATAAAAGTACATCTGCGCTGTCGTAAAACCATCAATTGTGCTGCGTTCTCGAACACGAAATCATCAAAGCATCGAAACATGTGGCCCAGAAATTTTTTCGTCCTCCGTGAGTTCTTAAATCGTTGTACATTAATGATTTTCCAACTAACTCTTTGAATTATAGTTTTTGGAGCAGTGCTTTTAATCACTATAGCTATGACTCAAGCTCAGCCTGGCGAGACAAGTGTAGGGCCTACACCCCCAACTAGGAGACCTACGCCGCCAACTAGAAGACCCACTCCTCCAACTAGGAGACCCACGCCTCCAACTAGGAGACCCACGCCCCCAACTAGGAGACCTACGCGGCCACCTAGGAGACCTACCCGGCCAACTAGGAGACCCACGCCTCCAACTAGGACACCTACTCCTCCAACTGTCACACCAACAAGAGTTGCCAGAGCTGCAAGACTCTCGAAACCTCGTCCATGCCCAAGGCAACCGCTGAGGTGTTCCACTGTTGGTCCATCATTGTGCGTACGCAATCGAAATGACAGGCTCTGTCGTCGCGTGGCTAATAAGTGTGCCTTACGTAATCTCAACTGCCTATCTAGGCCGCGTAATAGTAAGTGGTTGCAATTTTATATTTCACGACACTAGATCATTCTACATTTATCTTTTATGTTTTCTCCTCCCTCGTTAGATTGGTCTATTACCAGGCAAAGCCGTTGTGGAAAGCTTCCAATTGGAACACGCGCCGCTAAATGCAGAGACTGAATTAGTTATAAATTCGATTTTAAATAAAACTTAGTGTACAAAAATTTTTTTAATTCTCCAATAACCAATATTTGCCATAAATATCTTTAACTAACTAATTACTACAAAAAATAGTTTTTCTTGCAATAAAATTATGCAAATTATGTGATTTTATATGCAACCTACCTTGTTTTAATTACAAATGTCATTTATTAGGATTCCCTTTACCCGACCGAGTATTTACAAGATGATTTAGCTATGTGTTAAAAGATGTTCTGCATATTATGCAGGCAAAACATCTCTTAGCCGAAAATTGGTTCGAGTTAGCGATAAGTAATAACACATATGTAGTTGCATATAAATATAATCCAACAACTATTATAAAAACCTCTGATTCAAATTACCTCACTCGGTTACTCTAGTTCTTAAGCCAACCCATGAATATGTATTTTACTCTTAGAGGAAGGCTTTTACGGATGAAAATAGTTGTAGTTTCTATTCCTTAGTTAATTCGCCAGATAAAGTGTCTGCTAAAGTGATGTCTACTTAATCAAAAGATGATATTTCCACTTTTTGGATTTTTTTTTTAATTTTGTGGTTTAATATGTATGTATTATCTTCTGGCTCTTGCTAAAGCTGTTGTCTGTCGCTCCTGCAATTACAAGCACGGCGGTCTCCGAAGCTGTTCGGTAGGAGCACTCTATACGGAGTGCTTCCCATTTTTGCACATCTGCCATATGCTTGCGGTACC